CTTTCATTACATTAACCTTTGTCCCAAACGATCGTATAATCCATCGAAAACTTTACCCTCAGCAAACGTGTGGCCTTCACAATCTTATTCTGTCATCAGTCATGGCATGTTCAAACATGTGGCTGGCGCTGATATTGTCATTGTGCCCGTTTCGCCGTAGGTTCCCCGTAATTCGCTTCGCCGTCCACGCGAGATTACAATTCCAGTGGCATTATCGGGGCCCATCTGAGCCAGTGTTCTATCCGACAATTCTGTTTGGACATTGGTGTGAGTAAAGCTCACGATTGTCACACTGGCACCGCTGGCTGTTTCCTTAATCTCGCAGTTTTGGAACAGCGCAGCTTTTGCTATCAAGGCATCCACACGTCCCTGTACTTGTGACAGTTTATATCCACTTGATTTATTTTATAAAACGTCGCGTATACAGGTCCACTGAGAATAGGAGACCGGAACCCGTATTATCCGCACAACGCGTTTGCACGAACGCACGTACGATTCGTATGGGCTTGTAGACCCTCTACCTCAAGGGGTTAGAATAAAGGCATGCTGTGATTCTAGGAAAAGACAACTGGTGTGTGGAAAACAGTCCACATTCCCGTCAGGGAGTGGTTCCGTTTGCCAGGTAAACATGTGCGCGCTTTAAGCAAACAGGCCGCTAAGGTCAGGCCAGGACACACCAGTGGGTTACCGAGGACTTAAGTTCGGAAGTTAAATCTACGGTGTGAGGACGTACGAATGCATGATCGTCTGGGTGTTTGGGTTCGAGCGTGGTGCACATGGTAGGTAAATGCGGGTGTGGTAGATCTGAGTTAGCCATTAGAAATTTTTTGAGGTAGCGCAGCGTGTCACATGTGAATGTCGAGAAAACTGGGGGCATAAAGGGAGCCGATGCATCATGTTTAGATTGCCGTTGGCTTGGCACTGGGCTAGCCTTTTCACCTGGACAATTTGAAAGAAGGGTGAGACCAAGTTGCTTACCTCCACCAGATGTACCTGAGGTGGGAATGGGTGTGAGTGCATTCTCGCTACCGCTAAAATGGGACAAGTTGAATGAACGTGGAGCGAAGTGGGAGGTAAAATAAATCTATTGTGCGAGGTCGTCCCGTTGTTTGTACCCTTTCAATGATTGTTGTATAGTGCGGGATGATAACTAGGCGTTTGCCAAGCGACAGCTGTGATTGAGGTTATTCCAAACAAAATGTTGTTTTCCCTGGTGGTTGTAGGAGGCTGATCGATATGGAACTTTGGGTGCAATCGAGTATTCGCAGTCATACACCTCTTGAAGACTCTGGTTCCTGGATTGTTTATGTTGTACTTGGGTGAGAGTAAGCTATGGATTACATCAGGTTGTCTGTCCTAGGAAGCGTCTGGGACTTTGAGCCCGTATACTGATATGATTAAGGAGTTATCATTGCTGCACTTTTCCGAACACCTAGACCATTCTTTAACCCTAACGAATAAGGAATACAATTTAACGGGAGTTCCGCTGTCACAAATAGGAGAACCCGTTTTAGTCTTTCGTTGCTCTGAAGGTGTTTCAGTAAAGATAAAAGGATGGAATTGGAGATAGCTGAAAATATAGATGACTTGTCTAACTCTAAGTTAATGCATCTATTATCCACTGAATATTTTCATCATTTGGAAGTTTGACTGAGATATCTCAACGAGCCTAGTTACCTTCTCTGGTGTTCGAGGCACAGTGCTAATTGCAGACGTTTGTAGGAGTGCCTTATCTCGTTTAATTGGAAGGATGTTATTCATAATAAAAACTAGAAATCGAAATGTGTGTGAAGAATTCTTTTCGGGTCAACTCCCATCAAATCTTTACGCTAACATTTTGGGTTACATATAGAAGTGCCAGAAGGAAATAAACATTTCTTACACACAGTTTGAATGATGGATGCGATAAGCTAAGTCACAGCTACAGAACTAGCACTCAGTCATCGCTGAACTACTAAGCACAAATATGCGTAAGCAGTAAGCTAGACAGCACGAATGATAATCAGCCAGTTAAGTAGCAGTGTTCGGTGGCTAAGGTAAGAAAATAGGCCAATTATATTTTGTGAAGATTCGTCGCAGCTAGACGCAGACAGACAGCCATCGCATATCCAGAAAAGCGCTAGACTGCCGTTTCGTCCTAGTAGGACTCGTCAGTAGCGTGCACACGCCGAATCCTGGGGGCTTCGAACCCATGACCTTACTCTTATGAGCCAGCGACTTAGTCGGATGAGTTATGGACGGTGGCAGCGGAGATCCATGACTAATATTTAACTGCGATATTGTTCGGCTCATCCTCCACTGTCACACATGTTACGAACGTGCAGAGGACAGGCTGGCCCCCAGAGCCATGACTTTAATTGCATGCTGCCACCAATCGAGGCGGCAGGTAAGCTGCTAAGGCGAGTACTACCCGAATAATTTGAGAACAAACTAAGCATTTATTTATTTATGAGCCGCGCTATATTGCAGCTAGATTTCAGTCATGAATGTGCTCTGCCGTTGCCCATAACCCAGCCGCATAAGTCGCTGGCTCAGAAGAGTAAGGTCGTGCGTTTGAATCCGGCAGGGTTTAGCGAGTGTGCGCTACTGATGAGACCGAACAGGATGAACCAGCCGTCTAGCGCTTTTCTGGATGTGTGGTAGATGTCTGCCTTAAACTAGTTGCGACGAAGCTTCATAAAATACCCAATAAACCACCCTATCACTTACAGATAGGCCACATGTATTTTTTGAACCTAACTCGGGTTTCAAGTAGCGAAGTTGCATGGCCTTGGCAATGGATAGTAGTTGCTTGCAGAAGCATCGCGGGTAATGTCCAGGCAATAATTAGGGCACTTTGAATTCGTTCTCTGATGCTACATGGCCGTATTCAAGCTGGTGTCACAAAACTGAGCCTTCGGAGAACCGTATTTGGCTGTGGTCGCAGGTCCTCTGGGACAAACGCTCCAAATTTGTACCGACATATCTTGTGCCACAGGAGCACGAGTATTGCAAGGCAAACGTTGGTCGAGCAAACAAGTTTAAGTTTATCCGTCAAGGGCTTGACAAGTATTGGCCCGTTGTAATAACCAATTCGCAAACGAGTTGCAGAATATGTCTTCCCAATAGCGGCTTCTAGACGACAGGATAACATATAAGCGGCAGCATTGCCCCTTAAGTGTTAGATGCACGCAAGGCTCTTTCTTCGAAGCAATGTTCCTAGGTGGCTTATGCACGCGTACTTTCAGGTGCTTCAGGATAAGTTTGTCCGGATACCCATTTTCTTTTAGGGCATCGCTGGTCTTCTGCAGTTTTTCACTGACGGTATCTGGTGTGCAGATACTGCGCGCCCTGAAGGCGAGAGATTGCAAAACGTGTCGTTTGTACTGCAAAGTTATCGCGCTGTGGAATTAAGGAAACTGTCCAGGCCACGTGATTTTCATGTCTATTTTACTGCTGCAAGATCCATTGGCGTTACAGATAGTGTTTATGTACAAACACGAAAGCTGATCGCCAGACAGCTTTTTCACAGGCGATGCGAAGATTCGCGTGTGTATCATGAAAGAGTGCCGGCAGATGCAAAGCTTGCTTTCCGATTTGCAAAGTACGAACGTGTCATATAAGTATCGTAGATAACTTTCAACTTCGTTGTTATATGTTCTTAGTGGGTTATGTGCTGACTTTGCCATAAACTGCTCAGCCAAAAGTGGCCTTAAGGTGATCCCACGGCTATTCCATCAACCTGGGGGCAAATTTTCCAATTAATGTGGACTAAAGTTTTAAGGTGTGATGCAGTGGCACCTCTCTGAATAAAGGTTTAGGAAAAGCCACTGATCTGTGCTGATATGTACAGTCGTCAGGTTAGTTCGCATACCTATTTCACAGTTCCAAGCAATGTACTGTTGGTCAACAGCGACTGCACATCAAATCAATTAGCCTATTGTCTGCATGGTTGGTTATTTATCTTCACAACAAACTTAAAGGAATCTCCAACACAGTAAGTGCAAACCTTTTCCAAGCACGTCTGCAGTTTTTCCACAGTCCATTGTGTCAGTAGATGCTATGGATAACCGATCAGTTCCAAGATTGCACGCATTGGGACACCTTCCTTATGAAATGTCAGAAGACCGTAGAGTCTTGGAAATGGACATCCTGAAGGCCACGACTTTACAAACTCATTCTCTGTAATGAGATTTGATTGCATCAATCACTTGAGCTAACCAATTATCTGTGTTTCTACATTCTAGGGTAATGAGCACTAATACAGAAGCAACGAGGCCGGGACGGGACGAAAAATCATGTGAAAATTGTTCCAGCGACGCAGTATGGCTGCCTGACACACCAGTAAAAAACCAGACAGTACGCCGTGCAAGTCCGCCACGTTCAGGATTGATAAATGAACAGGAGGTAGCGTTTGGGTCGGTGCTATCATTGTTATTCAAATTAGGGTCTTGTTGACGGCGAAAGGATAACACTTCTGGGAAGTCAGGGTACCACGTATTTGCGTAAGCCAATTCGATGGAGACCAGGTTAGTGACCAGTTGATTGGTTAGCATCAAGCGCTTATGCAGCACGGATGTGATCTGGTCCTCAATACACTTGTACAGTTTAGGAAAGCGCAGAAGCTCTTGTTGTGCTCCACAGTGTTTGACGATACTCGGAATTGCTACGTGAATTAGCTAAACACAACTGAGGCTCGGTTCCTGCAAGCGTCTGCTCTATCGTTTAACAATCAGTTTAAAAAACCTCCGGCACAAATAGAGCTGGTTTAGGGCCGTTTGCGCTGCAGAAAGTGGTGAGGATATCCAAAGTGAACCGACCGCAAGTAGATCTATTCGTATGAGCGTGTGGTAGAATGTTTCGTGAAAAATGTAGCAAATGCCTACACTACCACACAACTCCGTTGTTTCAATATCCATGGCGATTCCGTCGATGGTGTTGTAATGGACTGTATTAAATTTCGTGCTAATTTGCAGAGGCAGATGAACCTGATCCTCAACCTCATCACCGAAAGTGCTCTGCTAGTTCTGGAACTGAGCAGCCAATACGTTACCGCGTGTCTTGACCTCCAGCAAAGATTCACGAATGTGAACGTTCGACGTTCGGGCAAAATGCGGAGTTCCCGTTTGACTGGCCAATGAGAGGCACCATCGATAAAGAAAGTTAGCCTTATCCTGCAGAGCTTGTTCAATTAGTTCACTCGATTTGATATCTGCCTGGAGGCGATTAAGCCCACCGATCATTCCCAAATAAGGAGGGACCACCAGACTCAAGTTTAAATCATGGGCCTCCGTACCTTGACCCAGTGGATTCAACGTGGGCAGAATGCAAGGTGTGCATAGTCCTACTGGGTCGACCGCTTTAACCAGCTTTTGGTCTTCACTTGTAGCCATATCGGTATTGGATGGTATGCCGGCCAGGATGATGTAATTGAGATTGTGCATATATAAACACAACTGAGTAAGCAGAGACCCGACGTCTTCCGGCTGATCACCGACAGGAACCTTGGCCAATCCCAATTGAACAAATCACGTCAGGTTCGGGATACGAGGACTATAGGTTTTCAAGTTGATGGGTTCATTGCTGATTGCCTAACCTGACCCGGTGACGCTATCAGTTCCGTCCTTTGACCTGCAAGCTTCGTTGAAATTCGTGATGTCATCCTTCAGATGCGGGAACGTGGCCCACTCAGTTGCTTTCTTATCACATCCCACCGACCGAAGATTATGTCCCGATGCATCCACATGAATTAGTTGAAGAACAGGAGGCCTGTAAGAAACAAAATTCGCTTGGAAGTTTCGATTGACGCGTTTCCACCGGGATCAAATAACCAGCAAGTCTGGAACTGGATAAAGTTACTATGTGCAAATGAATACATGACCATATACAATAACTTCAATAACTACTTCAAACTCAGAAAAATAATCGGTTGGTCCGAGTCAACAAGTCCAGCTTAAGAGAGTCCGCTGTAGGAAGTCTCGGCACTAAGGTACATGGTGTTTTTTATAAGCCGGGTAATCTAGTGGGATTGGTTGGTCCCGCAAATGGGATGCAGATTGGATAAGCCTCAAGGGAGAAGGAATTAAACCTGTTTGGAGTGTGCACCAGCTTAGGCACCTACACAAAAGCAGGAATGATCGGACATGCATCGGTGGGGACAATAGGTCAACAGACAGACATATGTTGGGCGGAGCCTGGGATACTAGTCGGTAAGCAATGACACGTAAGACGTGTCAAATACGACAGTATAGAAGTCGGAGGCGACTGAACCCAACGTATATTGTGCAGGCCACAAGAATAGGAAGCGAATCAGACAGAGCGAGAAACGTGCAGCGGGGTACTCACCAAAACGGTTTGTGTCAACGGATGTGTAGTCAGTAAAAGAGGTGGACTTTTCGAAGGTTAAAACAACCGTAAAATCCAATGTTACAAAATACTGAAAGAGGTTGTTTTCCGGTAAACTACAAGAGCCTCCCCCTAGAAGGTTGAAGGATGGAAGCCTTCGATGGAGCTTCTAGTGTGGAAAAACGGAAGGTGAGCGTGGGTGCGAATAGTTGTATTGGCTTGAGTAAGGACTTCCAATGTGAGGTGTGTAGCAAAGTTCGCTGGGTCCAGGCTTTTGTTAGTTAATATTTATGACGATCGTGTGGGGCAGAGTGCACCATCGGTGGACCATCGGGGCGGGCTGGTCGGACTGCAAAAATACTGGCTAGTCCAGAAAAAAGGCCGACAGGACCTTCCCTTTGCTGCAGACCCGACGGTGCGCTGGGGAGGTGTCAGTCTCCCCACCGCACTTTAGTCCACGGTCTTCGTCCCACGAAGAAATCCAGGCGCCCTCGTCCCACGAAGAAATCCGGGCGTCCTCGTCGGCAATGCTTAGGCGGCTTTCGTGGACCAATCCGTTAGTGGGTGTCTGCGGCGAGGGCGACGGTCTGTTCCTTGGGTGAGGAAGGGGGACTTGGGCCGGCTGGCGAGTCACTCGAGGGTTGCCTGATCAGTTCCGGCGGTTGAGTTTCTGAAAGGTAAAACTCTGAGAGGGTGGGCAAGGGTCGGGGAAGTGGCTTGACGCCGGAGAGGGAACATGGCATGCGTGATAAAAGCAAATACGATTTGTATGTTTCCAAAATGTTTTGGGTTTTTTTTGTCGATTTTGCGAAACGGTTGTGAACAAGACGCACGATAACCACTACAGACGCAAGTGGCGTGTTAATGGAAATAGCAAACGTTTACAAATTCTGAAAAACGGACCGGACGTCTGACCTGTCTACCGCGTCGGTCGGTTGCCTGGGGTTGAGGCGGGATAGGTTGCGAGTCAAGAGGTACGGAGGGTTCCGGGCTATCTAGTGCTCGGGAAGTCACTACAGTTCCGGGTGCTTTGCGAGAGCATCAGGATGGGTTGCACGTGGCTCGTCAAAGAAAGCCGCTTTGCGGCGGTCGATGGACTCCGTTGTTCGGTGACCATTCTGGCCTAAAGTAAAATGTTTCAGAGTCCGTTGCAGAACTCTGAAAGGGCCAGTGTAGAGAAGCTGGAGAGGGCGCCGCACTGCGTCGGTGCGGATGAAGACGTGAATGCAGGTAGAGAGTCCGCTGTGCATTTGCACATCTCTAGTCTGTTCACGGGGCAAAGTCGGGCACAGTGCACGCAGGCGTTGAGGTAAGGAGGACGCAAAGTTAGGCGGAAGCATACCCGACAATGCGGGAGGTGAAACGAATTCTCCTAATAACGAGCGTTGTGCCGTACACCAGCTCCGCTGGTGTACATTGCAAGTCAGCTTTGATACCGCTTCGAATGCCTAAGAATACGAGCGAAACGTTCTCGCTCCAGCTAGGGTCGAAGGAGGCTCAGAGCGAGGCTTTAAGCTGTCTATGGAAGTGTTCAACTTACCCGTTGGCTGCTGGGTGATACGCTTTGGTATGAATGCGGCGACAGCCTAAGAAGTTGCAGAACGTATCGAATTGTGAAGATGCGAAAGGCGTTCCTCGGTCAGTTGTGATGGTGGATGGGCATCCGTAGTGCGAAACCCACCGGTCCAAGAATGCCCGGATAACAGTCTCGGCTGTGCAAGCTGTTACGGGAATGGCTTCTGGCCACCTGGTGAAGCGGTCGACACATGTAAGAATGCATACGAATCCGCGTGAAGGAGGCAAAGGACCTACTAGGTCTACGTGAACATGCGATAACCGAGAGTCCGGGGCAGGAAATGAACCAAGAGGACTGCGGGTGTGACGATGTACTTTGGAGCGCTGGCATTGAATGCAGGCGCAAGCCCAGGTACGAACATCTTTGTTTACGCGTGGCCAAACGAAACGTTCGGTGACCAGTTGCAAGGATGCACGGATACCGGGATGTGATAGTGAGTGCAGTGCGTCAAAGACTGTGCGTCTGAAGGAGACGGGCACGAGGGGTCTGGGACAATCTGTGGAAGTGTAACAGAGAATGGCTCCTTCCGTGGTTTGGAGAGGAGCAGGTTGCACATGCAGCGAAGTGGACTGCAAGGTGCGATGTATATCTTCGTCTTGAGCCTGAGCCGATGCCATGGCGGCAAGGTCAACGGTAGGCAAAGACTGCAGAGTGAGGTTGACGCGTGAGAGAGCGATAGCGATGGGAATGTCGACACCTGAGACATGACGTATGTCAGCAGTAAACTGCATGACAAAGTCTAGGTGTCTTGTTTCCCGTGCTGGGTATTTGTCGCGAGCCGAGTTGAAGGCAAAGCTAAGGGGCTTGTGGTCAGTGTAGACCGTGAAAGCGCGGCCTTCGAGTGTGGGCCGGAAGTGACGTATCGCTAGATAAATGGCGAGCAGTTCTCCGCCAAACGTGCTGTAGCGGGATTCCGATGGCTGCAGGCGCTTGGAGAAGAACCCAAGGGGTTGCCATTGCCCACCAACGTGTTGTTGGAGGACGGCTCCTAATGCGACATCTGAGGCACCAGTCGTAATAGAAAGAGGTACAGTCGATCCGGAATGAGCGAGGAGTGCTATGTTGGAGATAGCATCCTTGAGCTCGGCGAGGGCTGCCTGTGCTGTGTCAGGGAAAGCGTACTTACTTTCATTTCCTCTGAGTAAGTCAGTCAGTGGCTGCATGAGCTGAGCGCAGCGCGGAATGAAGCGTCGATAGTAGTTGACCAAGCCACAAAATCGACGGAGGTGCTTGAATGTAGTTGGTGTTTGGAAGTCCTTGGCTGCCTGGATCTTATCAGGTAGGACTTCGATACCAGACGAGGAAAAGAGGTGGCCTAGGAATTTTACCGTTGATTTGCCGAGTTCGCACTTAGTCGGGTTGAATGTGACACGGTGTTGGGTCAAGCGCTGGAAGAGAGTTCGAAGATGTTCGAGGTGCTGTTGTTCCGATAAACTGGCTGCCAAAATATCGTCCAGGTAAGAATAGGCGAAGTCTAGGCCACGAGTGACATCGTGGATGAAGCGTTGGAAGGTTTGTGCGGTGTTGCACAGTCCAAATGGCATTCTTAAAAATTCGAACAAACCGAAAGGAGTGATGGCGGCTGTTTTAGGAATGTCAATGTCTTCCACAGTTATCTGGTGATGGGCGCGAACCAGATCGATCTTGCTGAAGATTGTCTTACCTGTGAGGCATACGGTAAAGTCCTGCATGTGTGGGATAGGATACCTATATGGGACGGTTAGGCGACTGAGTGCGTGGTAATTACTGCAAGGGCGCCAGTCACCATATTTCTTGGAGACCATCTGCAGGGTCGAGGACCAAGGGCTGTCAGAAGGGCGGATTATTCCAAGTTCATGCACGTGCTCAAACTCCGCTCGAGCTACCTTTAGTTTCTCGGGCGATAGTCGGCGTGGACGGCATGCCACAGGTGGGCCATTCGTCTGTATGTGGTGCATGTCTTGAGCTGCCGCGGTCAAAGCTGCTTTCATTGGCTGAATGAGCTTGGGATACTGAGAAAAGAGATTAGCGTAGTCTGGCGAGGTCTGGGGAAATGCAGGACCGGGGAGCTAGATGTGACATAGGTGGTGACTCCACGTACACTGGGTTTCGTTGCAGCGTCGATTATCATCTGGTGTTTCGCATCGACCAAGAGGTCGAACGGCCTGGGAAAGTCAATGCCGATGATGGCAAAGGCGACTGCAGCGACGGCGAATACCCAGCGGAAAGTGCGCCGAAGACCTGGGTCCAGGGTAAGCGACCGATGACCGTAGGTGGCTATTTGCGTGCCATTGGCGGCACTGAGGCTTGTCGACAGAGAAGCGGTAGGATCACCTGGCATAGGGGAATGACGCTGACTTCCGCCCCGATATTAACTAAGAACTAGGCCACGGAGTCATCATTCATTCATTCATTATACACATCAGCTAGAGGTGGGAAAACACCTCCGCTATTGTGCCGCAATACATGAAAGAAATACATTGGTTGGCGGCATCCGGTTTCGGATTTGCCTGTCACTGTGGCAAGCCACAGGACGCCTGCGCC